AAATTTTTATTTGAAATGGACTAACATTTCTGCTGATTATGTAAGTTTTTTTATTTATATTTATTGTTAGTGTATAATTATTTAATAATAATTCAAAATATACCTAAATATATCCTATATATAAGTGACTATTTTATATATGCCCCTTTTTTTTCTTGGAATTAATAAATATATTTATTTCCCCAATACAAAAAAAAAACATATTAATATATAAATAAAATTTTATCACAATTCTAAATTTTAAAATATTATTTAGTTTTTAAAATGTATACATTTTTCAAAACATTTATATTCTATAGAGAAAGCGCGAGTCAATTTTAAATAAATAGTTATAAAACTTGTTCATAGATGGCGCTAAGTGTCTGGCGCGAAGCGACCTAAAAAATAATGGTTTCTAAGAAACGACGCGCGAATTCCTCTTAACATTTATGGCAATCAAAGGATATTGAAAGACACAAACTCTATATAATTTTATTTTCAATATACTTTTAATAACTAATATACATATGGATTTTTATGTTTTAACCATTGTTTTAGTATTAATTGATTTGAAAATCTAGATATGAATTAAATAATTACAAAAAACAGGTTTCTATGGAGATACGTTAATAAAAATGGAAAGAAAATCATCACCAGAAGCCTGTTGTATTATTTGACTTATTGTTTTAGTATATTAAATATATTCGCTATTTTAACATTTTAAATGTATTCTTACAGGTGTATATATAGTGCACAAAATAAAGAAATTAGAACAAGTCTGATAAAACGGTGTTTACCTTACAACTCTGAACACTCGGATTTTCCTGGAAAATCTCTTAAAGATTTCTTGAAAAAAGCCATGGTCCACCTGGGCTGTGTAAGCAGAAGAGCTTAAATTGACTGTTCCATTATATGTATGTTCCATATGTAAATACCTGTTTTCTTTCCTCTTTTCGCTCTCCACTTCTTCCATCCATATTTCCAAATCCATATTCTTATTTTCCATAGGATCATTAAAATAATAATCTGTATATATTTACCATGTGTATATAATCTTTCTCCATTTTTACCCCTTTGTATATTTCCCACTTTCATAGGTTTCTCCGTCTTGTAACCCCAAGGAGAATCCTCTAAGACCAGTGTGTCTTAATAAAGTTTTTTTTTGTGTGTGGGTGTATATATGTTATATAAAAATATTGTTTTATTTTAAATTATAATTTAATAGATTTAAATACTCTGTTAAATCGACCGCCAGAGGTCACACTTCCCCTATAAAAACTCATTGTTGTTGTATCCCAAGGGCTGGCTCAAAACTTTTGTACATTATGTAAATAATCTTTTGTTTTCTTTATTATACTCGCCTTAAGCCAGGCATTACTTGTATCAAATTATGTTTTTTTTATATATTCCTTCAACTCAATTAAATTACTGATCAAAACTATTTTTCATTATCATACTTTAAAGATTTCAACCACGACTGCATTTCCATACCATAATCCTCAACATGATCTAAATTCAAGCAGAAAATCTCATTCATCTTTATTATTTATAACATATATATAGTGTACAAAATAAAGAAATTAGAACAAGTCCATTACAATATTTTCAATTTTATGAATTATCTCAGGTTTATATATACGAGGTTTTTATATGAAAGCAAGCAGTAGTATAGAGGGCGTTGGGGTTTAAATTGTTCGCAGCTGAGACATGATGATTAAAGTGTGGGTTTAATTACTGTAATTAGTTAACTATTATAATAGTTTCTGATAATATGTGACGCCATTGAAATTGTCTTTCACGGTCGTATTTGGGATATTGTTGTTGTTTTCCTGATATTTCGACAAATATGTAAAAGTCTTTATCAGGCTATACCTAAGTGCCACTTGTCAAAATAGTAAAAAGAGATCAACTTTTCGTTTAGGTTCTAAATATACACTTCGTGAAGTGTAAGAAATAAAAATATAATAGTAAGTAACGATGGAAATTTTAGCTTATAACACTTCCTTTGCCAATTAGGAAAATTCCGTGAATCCCTTGTGGATCACATGGAATAAAGTCCGCAATGAACTGACGATGGACATTAGTCCGAGACCATGATCTCCAGGTGGATGTTCTTAAAGTACCAAAGCTGGTGTTGTGGCTTTGTCAACTGACCCGAGTCTACTAGTTTGCTGAGATGGTCAATAGATGACGTCTAGTTTGGCGTCTATTTTGACGGGAGAGGTGTAGTTTCTTTATTATATTTTTTTCTTAACAAACAAGGTTGTTTTGAAATTTGAGCAATCCATAGATAAATCTTTAATTAAAAAGGCATATATTGGATCAAAAAATAATTTATTTTACCAATATTTCAGCTGGCTGAACGCCAACCTTTATCAAGGTGTTATAACACCTAATAAAATGTTATAACACCTTGATAAAGGTTGGCGTTCAGCCAGCTGAAATATTGGTAAAATAAATTATTTTTTGATCCAATATATGCCTTTTTAATTAAACAAGGTTGTATACAGGTTTAGAAGTGGTATCAACACGGTGGCCATCATTAGATCAGAAAGAATCCAACTATAATCACAATAAAGCCTAACAACCGCCACCGATATATAAACAGAATTGTCCAATACAGTATTAGAGCTATAAAAAGCTGTCTGGTAGATTAAATTGGCGAAACTGCTGGGAGGATTCAACACTGATATACCAAGCCCTTCCAATATTTTTTTTTCTTCGCAGTAAGGACAGTAGAGAAAATTTTCTTTAAGAAAAGAAACATTCGTGAATAATAAGTTTATTTTTTACATATAGATAGTTCATTATAGCCATATGTTAAATTGTTAGATTTGTTACTCTTTGATATGTCCATGTTTTTACTACGAAATAACTTGAGTTCTCCACCTTTTATATCCCAACCAACAATTAATATAATATATGAAAGCATTAAAATCACGAATGTTTCTTTTAAACATAAAACAAATGCAATATCTTTGTACCTTCTTATTATCAGAAAATCTTTATAATGTCTGATACATCTTTTGTTGTTTATTTGCAAACCGCCAAAGTGACTAAAACAAATAAAAAAAAGGGATGATGATAACCTGCGTCTTTCAGATTAACATTTTCATAGAAACATATATATATATTATATAATCTAAAAATATTATATAATCTAAAAATCTCAAATATTTCTATATTTAAAAAAATATATACTTTATTTTATTCATTGATAATTTTATTTTGGTTATCATCGTTTTTAGAAAGACTTTCAGTTTTAGTTGTATAATTTTGTTGTAAATATGCGTAGTTAACCAATCAATCCTTTTAAATCACTAATATAGGATTAAATTATAAATTCTATATAATGTGAAACTAACAAATGTATAATCTTTCCTCAAGTAATTGAAAATAAAAGCTACTTGACGGTAAATAATTATCTTTTTTTATCACGACTGCACCTCAACCCTTTATCTTATCGATCCTTTGTCTTATCAACCCTTTATCAACAACAACAAATTTATTCATAACATATATACATATTTATTGCTAGCTATATATCAACAAACTTTAACTATCGTTACTGCAATGGAAAAATATTTTTCACCACAGTAAGGATGGTTGAAGTTTGTTTTATATTTTAAAAGAAACATTTCTTTTTTAATGATTTCATTTCTTCTATATATAGAATGGAACGTTATCGTCTTATAATTAACAACAATATAAATATAGCTTCTAAGTTAGCTGTTCGAAGGATGGGGGAATAAACCAGGAACGTTACGGTGGTCACCTTGTAAGTCAACCATGTTGTGTGGCAAGACGATGGAGTCACCTCCAAGGTCCTTCCTTGACGGACATGTACTCAATGGTGGCTTTATAGACGGATACCTTGTGGACTACGACATATTGACTGATTAGTAACACAGATCACGATTTCAACCTAGCAAACCCTAATATTCATTATACAAACATAAATAGTAAATACAAAAGATTAATACTGGAAGCACTGATTTCATCAAAATATAATAGTATAAATAGACACATAGATATCCCGGAGACATATGATAGGCTGGTCCAAAAACTAAAATAGAATTATCCGTTTTCTCTTCATCACACCACTTAACAATTAGCATATAATAATAATAACCAATTGACTAATTTACATAGCAATAATTTTTCTTAAATAATAAAATATAAAACTTCATAAATAATCCTAGATATGCTAGTATTTCTAGGGGCAACACGCCTCTCTTTATCTGGGCTTTTCTTTGAGTTAAACTAAATCACGTGAGTATGAGATCCACTCACGCTCTACAAGAACAAAGCGAGAAACCATTTTAAAATATATATTTATATCTGTACATACATGACTACTTAAAAATTGTATCTATTATTCCTGTAGAAGGGCAGCTTGCGCCCGAAAGCTCGAATTGATTTTTCAAATAAAGAAACTTATCCTTCTTGAATCTATTCGTTAATATATTGACTGATTGACCAGTCATTTCTCAACCTTTCTTCACCCAGCACTCTACTAAATTGTATCGATTTTTTGGCAAGATACTTCAGGCACACATTTACAAGTACTTTCTTGGCGTGGAACTGAGGAGGGTGCAAGAAGACCCTTCGTTGTCTGGAGGAGGACTCTCTCAAGGAAAAATAACTATAAAAAATATAATACACATTTTAAAAACTCCGTGTGCAGCTATGCTTCAAAATTACCGCCTAAAAACAAGATCACAGAACAATATTAAAAACCAAAAGTGCATATTCTGACCGCTCATCTAACATTTTAAATGATAGAGCGCCATCTAGTGGAACAAAAATCAACTAAACGTTGATTAAGGCATGTTTCATAATAATTGGCAAGCCCAATATGCAACATGAATCTGTGAACAATACTTAAAATTATACCGCATAAGTTTCTTTTCTATGAAAAATCAATATTTATTTTAAAGAGAAATATTTACTATTTCTAACTTTTTTGAATGAAGTATGAGAGGGTGAAAATATGAAGAGTAATGGCGAACGGGATAACGTCCAGGGTAGCCTAGTGGACATGGCACCTGCCCGGTAAGCAGATGGTTGTGGGTTCGATTCCCGCCCCTGGACACTTTTATTTTTCCCGTTCGCCATTACTCTTCATATTTTCACCCTCTCATACTTCATTCAAAAAAGTTAGAAATAGTAAATATTTCTACTTAAAATAAATATTGATTTTTCATAGAAAAGAAACTTATGCGGTATAATTTTAAGTATTGTTTATAATCACACGCCGCAGTCCTTTATAATTTATAATGAATCTGTGAAGATGGATCCCGAGGCCATGCAATAGCACATGGCTGACTATGGCATCGACCTTATCTCTGGGAAGCCTAAATCTGTTTATTAATAGGTGGTATAGAGAGAGAATGGAGCTGTCAGGAAATGATGAAAGGGTTTAGCAACCCTGGGATCATAGCGATCTTTATCGTTAAATATTCCAGGTGGTGCAACGTGCTGTACGGGGACCTTCTCCCAACTCGATAAGATTTGAAAAACTTAAGATGAAAGAGATAAGTTGAGGCGGGCGGTGAGAGAATATTTTTAGGCTTAACGCTGAGATAAGGCGTCTGCTTCTCTTAACCATTATCTTCAATCTTCTTTTTAAACTCATTATATCATGTCGGTTCTTTTGGGGCTTCCCAAGAGGATGTGTGGCTGTTATCAGCCATTCTTCATAGAAGTTATGGTTGTGTTCCTGACCCAGATCATCTCTGTATCTAGGGATATCTTGTCGGGATTGTAGGATTTTATAACTAATCGCCTTTTTGTCTTTAGGTATCGTTGAATATCTTCTATAATTACTTTTATATATCAAATGATTGGTTGTGTTCTCCAGTCAGTATCTGCAGTACAACAGCTCAAATTTCAATATCTCCAGTTTTCTTCAGTTTCTCTGCTTTTGAGTATATCCTTCTGGGTCTCTAGTGATCCAGGCTTCTTGAGTTTACTTCATAGCGTACTCATCTAATCCATCTCAGTCTAAATACTTCCTACCATTCTCTTTCCATCCATATTGCCCCATCCAGAACTGTCCTCAACAATTCATTCCCCCTTTTGTAGGTTCTATCTAATTATTATGTCTTTGTTCCATCCATGTCTGTGATATACACTCATGGAAAAAACTTGAGGAAGTTTCATATTTTGATATCGCCGGTCGTCCTTTTTTTTTTTTTTGAAGGAGACAAAATCAATTTTATGATGCACTAAGGTAGATTAAACTGGCGAAACCGCTGGGAGGGTTCACCACTGATGAGCCAGTCCCTCCCATTAATTTTTCCATCGCAGTAAGGGCAGTAAAAATTGTTTAATTTCAAAAAGAATTTTAAGCGTCTAAAATAGTTTCGAATTTTCATAATCAATTTTGTTCACATTTGGTGAAATGGCGAAATCTATTGTGTCTTCAATAAAGGTTACTGTAATATATTTCAGAGTTATTGTCTGAATCCTGATATACATGCTGAAAGGTACAACTTCCTTAAGTTTTGTCTCTCTCTATGTAAGCATACTTTGAATTGATCCGGTGTTTTCCTAGTACTATTTGAGCATAACACACAGTGAATACCATCGATCTGTGAAAAAAAGTGAATTCATCATCATTTTCTTAGCGCTACTTTTAGCTTGTTCTGTTCTTTGTTATTATTATTATTATTTTAAGCCAAATTTCTACAGCCTTTAAACGGAAAATATCCCAATATTTTTCATATTTCGTTTAGAAAATTGTAAGAATTTGTCTTTAAAATAAGAATAATAATGCATAACAAAATATTTAGCCATACGAATAATGATAAATTCGCATCTTTACATTACTATACACGAGCACCTTAGTGAAACTTTCTTTCAAAACACGCAAAACAATAACTACACTCATGGACAAAACTTAAGGAAGTTGTACCTTTTACCATGTATATCGGGATTGGGACAATAACTCTGAAAGATATTACAGTGACCTTTATTGAAGACACACGAGATAACCAATATACACTCATGGACAACACTTAAGGAAGTTGTACCTTTTAGCATGTATATCGGGATTCAGACAATAACTCTGAAATATATTACAGTGACCTTTATTGAAGACACACGAGATAACCAAGTGTAAAAAAATATTGCCTCTATCTCCTTAAAAAAATAAATAAATAGACGACCGGTGACATCAAAGACTTTCCATTTCCTTAAGTTTTGTCCATGTGTGTGAATCAACCGAAACTTGGAGAAGTCTCCCTCCCTGAGAAAACAGAGAGAGAACAACTGTAAATATTTTATCCTTACTTGTAAATAATATCACCCCCCCCCCTTTATTTATTTCTCTCATTTGCTTTTGTAACCATTCACTAAGTAAATGTCAATAACATATTTTGAAAATTCCCTACATCAACCTAAAAAACGCAACCAACCAAAGATAATCCAACAAGTCTATTGCACCAGGAAAAACGACGTTGTCATATTTCCGTTGGTAACTTAGGATTACGTAGATACTGCTGCGTCATTTGCCTTATGCAACTCGATCGGGGGGGGGGGGGGGTATGTAGATAGGGTGCGGAGTCAGCGGAACGGTGCTGAGGGGGCGTCTAGACGGGGCGGCACACTGGGTGGGCCAGCCGTGGGAGTGAGAGAGATGGGGTTGTCCCAGACCTCGCTACTCGGACTCGGAACGATACAATCGTAGGTGGACGAGTATTTAACTAAACCTTTGGTTTACAACCGCTACGTCCCGAGATCGAATTCCTTATTGGGCTCTTTTTCCTAATTTAAAAAAATGCTCTAATGGCTCCCGTTTCTTGCAAAAGTACAACCCCACCAGCGAGTGCAAGTAACTAAATTGGGTTCTGGCACACTTGTAAGTACAAAAGTCGAACTTCTTTCCACGTGTGTAGACATGTGGTGCACTTACAGTAAAAACAGTTGCTAACTTCTAGCCACCATGATTATTATGGCCTGTACCACGTGTACTAGGGATGTAATAATATGATACAATATATATGTTATAAATAAAAATGAATAGAAATGCTTTTCTGCTGATTTTGGAATTGTTGAGATTATGCTATGGTAATGCAGTCGTGGTTGAAATCTTTAAAGTATGATAATAAAAACAGTAAAGATTAGAAATTGCTTCAAGTGAGCTTATGAGATATATAAAAACATAATTTGATAAAAGTAATATCTGGCTTAAGGCGAGTAGAATAAGGAAAACAAAAGATTATTTACATAATGTACAAAAGTTTTGAGCCGGCCATTGGGATAAAACAATGAGTTTTTATAGGGGAAGAGTGACCTCTGGCAGTCGATTTAGCAGAGTATTTGAATCTATGAAATTATAATTTAATATAAAACAATATATATATTTTTATATAACATATATATATATTAAGAAAAAGGCATCTCCTTATCGTGCAACTGAAAGTTGCTGATGGCTGGCGCCATCTATCGGAATAAATATCAACTATTCTCGTTGATTTTTAATTATTCCAGAATTGGCCAAATACCCATTCTTGATTAATCAAGAAAAGCTAACCACGGACGCGCAATTCTCTTTAATTTTTTTTTTTTTTTGAAATTTCTCTACGAATCCTGCCAGGGTATCATTATTAGGAAGGCATCATATTTGCATCATGATACCCATAACACGAGTTAAACATCTTTTTTTTTTTTGGTAAATTCGACTGATTCCATAACCTCTCTCGTAGAATGTTATAAAATCGAAGCCGTCCCTGTACTGATGAGGGTCATAGCCTGAAACCATGGTATACAGGTTGTTGGCTTTTGTCTGAATTTGTCAAAACTGGTGTTGTGGCTCATTTTTTATCTCGACCTCTACATTCTATATTGAGAGGATAAACAAAATGTGTTTGTTTTTATGTATTTTAAAGGGAGAGGTGCCTCATAGCTTATTTTTGGTTTTATTTCTCGATAATATATATCTATAAATAAAATATTATTATAGAGCTCTATATATTTACATATTTCCAATACAATTTTGTAAATTTGAATTTCTTTCAACTATGTATCTCAGGAGAATCTACTCTGTATAAAGACTTAATAAAATTATTGATTGATCGAATTAATAATAATAATTTCAAAATGACGATTTCTTTTTACTCTTTCTCTAAATAAAGGAATGTAGAATGAAAAAATAAATCTTTTTTTTGTTTTTGTTTTTTACGAATTCATAACAGGTGTTTAGTTGTATTAAAGCTTTATTAGAGTTCATATTAGTTTCGTTTTACAAAAGTGTTGTGATATCAGTTTGAAAGGTTTATAAGAAAAGCTACTGGTTGATGCCGATATAGGCTTGCCTCTACCAGAAGGTGCATTGACCAATCGGGCGCCAGTTCCGTCCCCCGGGGCCGGTAGTCGTCTGCCTACGCATCGACCTAGATATAAGTTGCCAAACGACCAATCCACACTTTCGTCTGCTCACTAATCCAGCAATCAGAAGAAATGGATCCAAACATTGGCGAATTATGGTGAAGCTTTTTTTTTCTTTTTATCCTAATAAATAATAGGCTCTTAGTGTTTTTTTTTTTTTTTTTTTTGTATCGTCTGCTTAGATTAGGCCTAGGAAATATTAATGATTAATTTATCGCTATTTAATAGAGAACATGTCATTTATTAACTAACGTGTGTCACATTATATATATATTAAAATAAACAGATTATTTTAGTATGATCATTGTCTCTTAGCATTATTTATAAATTCTGAATCAATTTTCTTTTTATATTCTTTTTGTGTAGGATATAAGTTTCCTTTTTTATTATTATTATTATTATTAGGGGATCTGTGGACAAGTGGTCTAAACAGTTTATTTCGACCACTACGACCCGGGATCAAATCTCGCGCATTGGGCACTTTTTTCTAATAAAATAATAATACTTTTTTTATTTAACAGTTGGGAGAGACACGCCATATCCACAATTTGGATAATTGCGTGTATATTTTAAATTATATACAATTAATACAATTGAACATTGGAAATCATTAAAATTAAACGTTCGATGTCAAATTTTACATATAGCAATTATAAGTAGTAGCTTGAAATATGTACAGTCAACACTTTCGCCTCCAAATA